CTGTGTTTCGAGTGTTCAGTTTAGGGAAGTTTGAGAAAATGAATCCATATTAGAATCATCTATGGTTACAGATCTCCTCCTTTTGAAGGGCTCATTATCCACACACCCTGTAGCCAATGCAACTGTGTATCCATCCACCCTGCATTTCTAAGTCCCCTAATGAGGGGAACAAAGACAGCAGGGGAGAGAATCAAGAGAACCAACAGCAGAGAAGGCCAGGAACTTGAGTGTCCTCCCTGCTCTCTTCACTCTGTCTCTATGGCTGTCTAGTTCATCCTTTTTATGCTCTGAGAAATACAATAATTTTCAGAGATACAAATAATTGTTTTTATTTTGAATGGAGTTTATCTAAGAATCTCTGTAAATACATTTGTTTACTTCAGATGAGTTCTAGCCACTCCATAGTAGGATTCTCTTAAGTCTACAACTCCAAACACAACAGAATAAAATGAGCCTCTGTTTATAAGTATGAGACCTGAGCTTCACATACCAACCATCCACAAGTGGTGACCCAGTAGAACCTTCACGCTCTTACCATTCTGCTCCACAGAAAGTCAGTATCTGCAGTGGGGATTTGGAATTTTCCCTGGAAATCCAACCCCACTAAACCAAAATAGTTGGGGGAAGGGTACTCTTAGTAACTAGTCATACTCTTACTTAACCCAAGATGACTATTCATCTTCCAAAATATTTACCTAACAAAAGGTTTTCATAAGAGATCTCAACTATGCTTAGTACTGAGGTATTGAAATAACAATAAATCGATATCTAAAGGAATATATTAAGTTATAAATACAGAATCAGCTTTTTTTAATTGAGTGGGAAGTCATTCTGAATGCATAATAGAGTTCATAAATGCTGACAGAGCTATAGTATTTTTTGTTGTTCTTTGTATGTAGAATTAGAAATGTAGTGCTTTTTTAATAGTCAACAGTTGGTTTGTATCTGTGGCTATCGTAAACGTTTAAATCGTGATTTTTGTAATGTTTTGGCAGAATTACTCTATTTAGTTCTCCATCAGCAACCACTCAGCTGTTCCTTTTCTCTATTACCTGTGAGTTGTCATATCTTGCTACATGTCTCAGTAAAGAGAAACTTAGTTCAGTCTCCCCACACTCTCCTCACTGTCTTGAGTTCTATCTGCAGTTTGGAGCCACCTGGTGGCTTTCTGCTCAGACTCTTGTGTTACTGAGACTTAGATGGAGACTTGTTTCTAAGGTAATTTTTGTGGACTTTTTAGGAACCATTCATTTTTAATACTGTATTTTTCTTAATTCTTTGACAATTTTCTGCAGTATATTTTTGCAACATCTAGTGCTGCTGCAGGGATGGATTTTACCAGGGACCACAAGAGAATGAAGAAAAGACAAACATAGGAAAGCTAGACTCAGGTGGACTGAGCTCTCTGATAGAGAAACCATATTACCGAGAAGCTCAGCATGTTTGTTATGGACTTGAGCAGAGAGGCAGGTTATTGCCTGTAGTTGAATAAGGAAGTGGGTTTATTGCATACAGATAAAGAAGGCGGCAGGATTTATGATATACAATTAGATCAAGAAGACAGGGTTAGCTAACCTCAGTAGTAGCGTTTTTGTAGCAGAGCAGTCTTCAGGCTGTAAATATCTGGCAAGGGGGTTATTGTAGACATTTTCTACATAGACTATCAATATCAACACTCAGATACACCACCACCACTACCACCATCACCATCATCACCACCACTAAGGAAAGCTTTCCCATTTCTACGGGTCTGAGGCTGCGGCATCCTTCACATGCTGTGCCCATGTCCGCAGCTCACATGCACTCAGAATCTCACTCACACAGGGCTTCCTTCACTCCCTACATATTTTTATTACATTTACCCCCCCCCGCCCCGTCCCAGGTCCACCACAATCTGTTTACCCCCTCCTTGTCCTCCTTTTTTTTTTTTTTAATAACCCACAGAGTCCACTTTGTGCTTCTCATATTCTCATGAGTAGAACCATCCACTGGGCCACCAAGGGCCACACCCTTAAAGAAAACTGACTCTTCCTCCCCACAAGAAGCCATCAGCTCTCAGTAGCTGCTCAGGGGGTGGGAACTCATGATCCCTCCTTGCTGGGATGTTGACTGGCTTGCCCTTGTGCAGACAACACACGGCTGCTGTGAGCCCACGAGTAACCATGTTCAGAAGACACTGTTCTGTTCTGGTCTTCCCTAACCTAGCGATCTCAGTCTTTCTCTCCATCTTGTACAATAGTCTCTAATTCTTAGGATGTAGGGAGGTGTAGGTGTCCTATTTGTATCTCAGCACTCCACTGACAACATTCATTTTTTGACCTGATGAAATGGAAGTTGGATCAGGAAAATCTTGGACACTCAGGGACTTAATCTGCATAACCCCACTTGCCTTTTCATTTGTACATCTCCTTGCAAAGGTAGAAAGGTTAGCTTTTATCTACTTGATGTATAAGACTGGTCAGAGGATAGAAGCCAATGGCAAACCACATGAAATTCAGCTTTAGGTTACTGTAGCGCTTTAGTGTACCTGGATGTAGAATTACTATGTTTTAAAGACAGTACGCCTTCAACTTTATAATATTGCCAAATTGTTCTCCCAAATAGTTACATCAATTTACACTCCCACCTGTAATGTATGAGTTCCTATTTTCACACATTCTTGGCAACATCTGGTGTTTGCAGATTTTATTTTTATCCATCTGATGAGTGTGAAGCTATGTCTCATTTTGGCTTTAATTTGCATTTTTACTATTGAGCATTTTGTGTTTATTGGTCATTTGGGTTTCCTCTTCTGTTAAGTGACTGTTCCATGTAGCTCCTGGGTATTCTTGAAAAGATGTTCTCCTGTTTAATCTGTGTAGGACTGTATGTGTCCACTAGATAAGCATTCAAATGATGTTCTTTTCTTTTGTGTCTGTCAAGTGTCAATTAGTATGAGTTTGGATTTGCTCATTTCTTCTAGTAATCCTGTGTTCTTCTCCTTTACTAATCCAGAGGTAGAATCCAGAATTACTATAGTTATCTATGTATGTTCTACTTTGCAATAGCTTTTTAAATTTCTATTACTTTTTTTTTTGCCTACAGTACATTTTCTCCTAAAATTAATAGAGTGATGACAGTTTTCATTGATTTATAGTATGTCCAGTAGGAGTTAAGGATATGTTCAAGTGCAAATAGCAGAAAACTTCACTGTATTTGTTTAAGCAAGTGGAAAATTACTTTTTTTCTCTGAGAAGATTAAGCAGGGATGTGGGCCCACTGCTCAGAAATGCAGACTCTGCCTGTCTGCCGGCCCTGTGGCCAGCCTTCGTCCTCCTGCCTCCTTCTCCCTAAGACGTCTCTGCATGGGAACAGAGGGGTGAGACAGATAGCCGCGATTGCCCCGGTGTGTTTGTGGACCACAGTTTCCTCTTCTGGCACCGCTGGAATTTGTGTCCTGTGACTGTAAATAATCTGTTGTTTGTATGCACCTTATGAAATGTTTTATTGATCATCTTACTTTCTACAGGGAGCGTGAAAATTATTCTTGCCAGATGAAGCACGGGGAAGAAAAAGCGTACGCAGATCTGTCTTGAGAGCTTGAAGAAGCAATTGCATTGTTACATCTGTTTGCCAGATAATACAGTTTACTAGCAAAGCATAGTACAAATAGATCTCAAGCCATTAAATCAAAGTAACAATAGACTTAAGGTTTATGGGGGGGTTGTTTTGTTTTGTTTTTTCAAAAGAATGATGAAATTTCAGTCAGTATTTTCAGTGAAACCTAACATCACATTGTATCTTTGTTGTTGTTGTATTAGAGGCTGTCAGGCAGCCCATCTTACTTAGGAAAGTTCATCTTTCTACGTTACTTCATCCTCTGAACAGTTCATTATATCTGATTTCACCTGTAGCCTTGTCCTGGACCGTTAACATAGGCCATGGACTATAAGCAGTCTACATTTGCACTTCAGCATAGCCTTCAACATCTTCAAAGCAAGTAGATTTTATTTCTATTTTTATCCTAAATTAATTTCCATATGTTAGAAGGTTCTGGTGCTTCCAACTAGGACAATATATTATTATGCCTAATATCTGATCCATGCTGAAAGTTAGGAAAACATTTACCTATTTTATTATGCTTTCCTTTGTTCCAAGAAAAAAAATCCGTGAGAAATGATGCCTATAATGTTCATACTGGAAAAGAAGGCAACAGAGTGCATCCAAAGCAAGAAACTTTTTTCTTTAAAAACATTAGAATGTGTCATGTTTAACTACTAGGACAATGGGTATAAAAGCAGAGCTGGTGCCAGGTAAATGCTAACAGTGGCCGTGCTGACACTGCTAGTCCAGTTTAAATGCTCTGTAGTCATCATTAACCTTGTCCAACACAATGCTGTTGAGCAGAATTTGGACTAAGATTTGAAGTGTGTGTGTGTGTGTGTGCGTGTGTGTGTGTGTGAATGTTTTTCCTTTTCAATAAGCATGGGATACTACTTTATGCCCCTCACCTAATAAGCTTTGTACATGACTTAGCCTTTGGATAAAATATATAATTAAAATTCCTTGAAAAGAGAAATATTTTAGAAAATGAATGTTTTCCACTGATTTTTACTTATTTGTGTGTGGGGGGTGTGTGTTGTGTATGTCTGTGTGTCTGTTTAAATGAATGTCTATGTGTGAGATTTCTCTATTTTTTATTGACATTCTTCCTGTTGAACACTTTCTATTTACCCTATCATGAACAACAAAAATGTTGAATCTTTTTGATTAGTTAACCTTTATAGCTTAACATTTAAAAACTCACCTTTTTTATTGGCTACAATATTTCAGTTTTCTCTTTTTTTTTTAACAGATTTGTTTTTAACCAATTGAAGTAAAGTGCTTTAATTTTTCTCAGTGGTGTAGCTTTACATTAAACTTCAAGTTTCTTACTATTAATATAATTATTTGAATGTTTATGTTTATAAACTTGAATTTAGGTTTTGTTGTGGTTTAAGTTACCTAAAATAATTTTTCAGCCATGGAAACAAAGAAGTATTCTCCTGCCGAGGAATAAAATTGGCAGTGGATTGGTTTTTGGAAAGAGGCCACAAAGACATTACAGTTTTTGTTCCTGCTTGGAGAAAAGAGCAATCCCGACCTGATGCCCTTATCACAGGTAAGCTGCTCTCATGTGGCTGTTTGTGCCATGAGGTACCCACATAGGTGCCTGGCATGCTGGAGACTCTTGATCTGTTTCTGTTTACTCAGTCTATGTAATTGCCTTGTCTTGAGTGAAACATTTTTTTTTAATTTGCCAGATGGAAAATGATCTAATTAAATATTAACTGAATACTGTATGTATTAGTTCCTTTTCTGTTGCTGTGGTAAAATATGATGATGGAGTGACTGCAGAAGGACCAGAAGAGAGCTCACATCTCAAAGCAGAAGCAGAATGGAAAAAGCACCATCGGATTGGCTAGATTCTTTTGAAACCCCAAAGCCCAGTGACACACTTCCTCCAGCAAAGCCACACCTCCTAATCCTTCCCACATAGTTTGATGAACTGGGGAAAGTAATCCAAGCATATGAGCTTATGGGACCATTCTCATTTAAACCACCAAAGCTATATAAGTTTGATGTTTTTTTTATTACGTGGAAACTTTTATTTGACATCAAATTTTATAAAATTCTGACTCTTTGAGACATTCTAGCTTTGATGTTTGCACTGTAGTATTTGGAAAAACACACTGAATCTCTTCAGAAACCACTTCTGTCATATCTCTGTGAAATGAGCCTAGGCAGCTGTCAGGTTCTAATGACTGCAGGACATAAAAGATTTGTTAATACCCTGAAAGATGTGAATCAGCCAAAAAGGAAGAAATTACCAGCTTCCACTAAAGTATTTATTTTTCTCATTATTTTGTCATTTTTAAATGAATGAGTTTGGGACAAACCTGTCCTCTTTAACTATTAATTGTTATTGAATATTTGATTCAGTTATAGTGACTCAAAGGCAGCATCCAATTCCTTCAGTATCACCAGAACTGTGAGGGAACTATGTAAGCGGAACTACAGAACTTTTCAGAGAAGGAAAGAGGTGTGGAGGGAGTGAAATCGACAGGCAGACGTGCAAATTATGTTTCCAATGAGAAAAAATGGGTTTTTTTTTTCCCTCTAATATCATTGTTAAAATAGGATAAGGTGAGTAGGCAAGTATTGGTAGAGGCTAAAGCTCTGATCTCTGTCAGGTCCAAAAGGAACTGGGGACAGATGGCTATCTGTGGTATCTATTGGCATACCAAAATTACATGCTGGCCTCCAGGTTCACTCAGTAGCTGTGGCTCTTTTCAGTTCTTCTCGCCCGGCCCCCTACCCGAAACTTCTCCAGCTCATGGGCTTCCCTTCGCCCAGCTTCTCGTTCTTAGATAACCATAGGCTTTCCACCATGAGTTCTTTTGGTCCCATCTCTTTGCCTCTCTCTTTGCTCCCTCTGCTTTATTCTCCTCTCTCACCCTCCCCGCACCCCAACGTGGCCATCTTTGACCTACTATGCTCCCTGCTTTGGACTCTTCAAGATGCCTCTTGCTGTACTGCTCCCCATATCTACAATAAAAACTTCCCCCTCAGCCATATGTTGGAGCGGTCATGTCTTTAAACAGGCTACTTTATACAAAGTAGCTTTATAAAGGATACCTGTGTGATCCAGCACAAAGAACCAAAATGTTGAAATAACTCTAGAAAAGAAAAGAAAAAAAAAAAAAACCCACTTGCTTAGAATCTTATTTTATGCCCTATAACAATAATTTTTACATAGTTGAAGAATTAGTTGTCAAAATCAAACCATCAAAAGTTATAGTCTTTGAGTTGGAGGAAGGGAACAGACTTTCTAAATTTAGAAATTTTAGAAGTGATGTGAAGGAAAAAATGTAATTAAAGCAAAATTTCAGTTTCAACCTTTTGATAGGCTTTCTTAAAACTATGTACCCATTGATTACATTCATGCCCTTAACATAAAAAATTCACACAAATGACAAACACAAGCCTAACATATAAAGTGGTTGGACCAACCTCATGAGTAGTTAGAAACATGCAGATGGAAACAGCTACTATTTTTTATCCTTTGAATTAACATGAAAAGCGAACAGTATTCAGTGCTCTGAGGAAGCTACTCTCACATTAAGGAGACGCACCAAACCTAAAACCAGCCTTATATGCACTGTTCTTAGACTGTTAATAGAGTAGTTCCTGCTCCATTCAAGGTTTCCAAAGCTTCAGTCAGCCAAGGTTGGTTGATTGTGATGCAAAATTATTAAATGGAAGCTACACATTTAAAATCGCACAGGGTTTTGCGTCATGTGGCGAAATGCTACGCTGTCCTACTCTCTTCTGGCAAGCAAAGGAATCTTCCCTTTTCCAGCATCTCTAACCTGTCGATGCTCCCTGTCATCAACCATTATGTGGCGGCCCTCTTGAACAAACAGATTGTCTATTGCAGTACTTATGCATAAGTAACTCTTTATTTAATAATAGCATACAGCTGAAGCTTTATACCAGCAGTTTGGATGTCACCAAAGCAAAGCTGGAAAGTAGACCCTTTAAGTAAAAAGGTAGAACTTCTCAAGTTTATAAAGAAGGAAATGTATAGGCTGAGGTCGCTAGGCCATGTAGTACAGGAAGATATTTGGAGAAAGGTCATGTTCAACAACATTTTTGACATCTTTGATGGTATATTGTTATAGTATATTTTTGTGCTGCCTTTTTTATGTCGGCTTGTTACCAGCTGGCATTATTTGGGAAGAGGAAACCTCAATTAAGAAAATACCTCAACTAGAATGACTCGTCAGCAAGCCTGAAGAGTGCTTTCTTGATTGGTTGGTGTGGAAGGGCCTAGCTCAATGCAGTACAAACCCTGAGCTGGTGGTCAGGGTGCTATAAGCAAGCATGCTGAGCAAGCCATGAGGAACAGGGAGCAAACCAGTAAGTAGCATCCCTCCAAGATCTCCCTATTGAGAGACTGTCAGCTTTAAGAGGAAGTAATCCCTTTCTGCCCAAGTTGCTTTTAGTCATGGTGTTCATCACTGGTAGAAAACCTAGGACATATTTTATTATAAATTAATTTTGTTGTGCCTAATTTACAAATTGAGTTTTATCAAGGATATGTATGTAAAGGAAAATAAATATAAATGATTCTGTACTGTCTTTGTTTTCTCTTGTAACTGGGGGGTGGGGTATCTTGGAGTCATTCCCAGTAAGTAAGGGGGAGGAATTACTATGCTGTTAGATTTTCAAGTTCCCGTTAAGGAATGAATCCCAAGAAAATAAGCAGGCATATAGGTGAAGGTCTAGAACCAAAAATGCAACATAGTATTATTTTTACTAGAAAAAAAAAAAAGAAAAAGTCAATTGTATTCTCACTAGAAGGATAGTTCAATAAATTATAACATTCCCCAATGATACAGTATTTAAGCAGAATTGTGAATGTGATTTTGAGTATCTGTGTGTAAGTGTTCTCACCTCTGCCTACATCTCCAGTGGCCAGAGATCAACTGTGGATGTCCTCCTCTATTGTTTTCTGCCTTGTATTTTTGTCTAGAAGCTAGGCTGGCTGAGCAGTGAGCTGCTGGGTTCTGTCTATGTTTCCTCAGCACTGGGATTATAGATACATTCCACCGTGCCCAACCTTTATTCGGTTTCCAGGGTTCTGAACTGCTGGGGATTTGAACTCACATTTTTGTGTTTGCACCAAGCACTTTACCCACTTGACCATCTTCCCAGCCCATAGGCAGATTTTTTTTTTAGAAAATAAAGTATTATATAGAACTCAAGATTTTTATTGTGTATGTACATGTGGAGTTTTGTGTGTGTGTGTGTGTGTGTGTGTGTGTGTGTGTGTGTGTATATATATATATATATATATATATATATATAAATTTACATAAAATGATTTAGAGGAAACATACCAAAATGTTAAATAACCTCTAAGTTGTGTTTTTATGGGATGTTCATTTCTTGCTATTTCTTTATACTTTTACTTTCCTAATTTTTTTCATAAGGACTTAGAAAAATAGTAGGTAGGGTATGATAATTAAAATGAAAAGGCAACAACTGGGCATGGGGACATGTCCACAGTCCCAGAATTTGGGGGCTGAGACAAGATGTCATGTTAACAAGACCCTGTGTGGAAAATAGAGGAAAAGAAAAGCGATGCTGCGTTGTGCAGATATGATCTTTGTACTTTCCGAGGAAAGAAAATTATGAGATCAAGAAGGGAAATAAATACACACCAGCCAGGAAATGGCTGTGTCCAGGTGAGAAGGCCCCTGAATGACATCAGGATACAGGTTACTTTGTAAATTGCTGGAATGATAGTCAGGCTTTCAAGGGTTTTCTTTCCAAAGTAATAAGCCCCCACCACAGAATCCCTGGTGAATAGAATAGTTCACTATTCTTTCACTAGATGTAAATGAATAAATCAATTTTCAGTCATAGGTTCAGACTTTTGCTAATCTGATAGTCATTTAACAAGTATTTAACATGAACTGGCTATATTAACTTACGAGCTATATACTAAACCCATATTTTTTTAAGCTGGAATTATCTATTGTCTATGTGTCATTCAAAAAATGTTTTGTTTAGTTTTTCCAACCACACAAGCTGTTTCACGAACGCAAATTAAACAGTGATGGTGACTGTTAGGCTGCTTGCATTTACTCTGCTGGTTTTTTCAGTGAGGCACACTACACATCAGTTAACATTTCTCCAGTAATAAAGGGCCGTGAGTTACTCAGTAGCATGATAAATAAACTGGAAACATCAGCATATGCATCATTTAGCATTTCCTTTATTCACCCATTCCACAGACATTCATTGAGTGTCTATTATACTGTGTTTCATGGGCTGGTGCTAATGGATGCAGAGATCATGGGACAGAGGACTGTGCTGCCCTCCAGATGTTGTTCAAGATAACATGTAGAGTAATTATAACATATTGGGTTCTATTATTGAATCTGGATATTAGGGTTTGTATTGGTTTTCTGTGTGTTTTAAAGAGATCAGCAATTACATATGATGAAATACATTCAAGTTAGTTAAAGAGCACAGTCCCTGAAGGGGGTGGGGCTTCCCAGCACTTCTCCACGTGTAGACCCCTCACAACCTGCCCACTGTATCTCAGAAACAGACGGGACAGTGAGACAGTGATTTCCCCATGCGGACAGTAGCACAACTTGAGTTTTATGCATGAATTCCTATGATACCCACATTCTTTCCTAACTCTAGCAGCCACTGAACCAATCACAAATCCCACAGGGTAATAGCTAGTAATTATCTGTTGAAGAAGTGGGTTTTTATTATTATTATTATTATTATTATTATTATTATTATTATTATTATT